GAAATTTAAAAATTTTTTGAAAGTAATGAAAATGAAAACACAACATACAAAAACCTGTGGAATACATAAAAATCAGTGCTAAGAGGGTAGTTGATAGCATTAAATGCCAACATTGGAAAAGTAAAAATTTACCAACAAATTACCAATCTAACATTGCATCTCAAAGCACTAGAAAAACAAATAAAAACCAAACGCAAAGTTAGAAAAAGAAAAGAAATAACAAAGATCAGAGCAGAACTAAAGGAAATAGAGACCAAAAGAGCAATATGGAAGAGATCAATAAAACAAAAGTTGGTTCTTTCAAAAGATGAACAAAATTTATAAACCACTACCTACACTAACCAAGAAAAGAAGATCCAAAATAACACAATCACAAATGGAAAACGAGACATTACAAGTGCTGTCAAAAGATCATCAGAGAGTATTATGAACAAATAAACACAAACCAGAAAACCTAGAGGAAACTGATGATTTCCTGAAAGCATACAACCTCCTGAGATTGAACCAAGAAAAAAAAAAATAGAATTCCTGAACAGACCAATAATGAGTAGTGAGATTTGATTAATAATAAAAAATCTACCTCCCAAAACCCGAGACCAATTGGATCTACAGCTGAATACTACCAAACATACAAAGAAGAACTAATACCAATCCTCTTAAAACTGGTCTAAAAAAAAAAAAAAAATCAAGGAGGAAGGAATTCTCCCTACATAATTCTATGAGGCCAGTATCACTGTGATAGCAAAACCAGTCAAGGACACAACAAAAATAGAAAACTACGGAACAATATCCCTAATGAACATACACTCAAAAATCCTCATGAAATTCTAGCAAACTGAATCCAACAGTACATCAAAAGTATAAAACACCATGATCAAGAGGGTTTTATACCAGGGATGTAAGCATAATTCAACATACACAAATAAGTATGATACTTCACATAAACAGAATTAAGGACAAAAACCATATGATCATCTCAATAGACATAGAAAAAGCGTTTGATAACTTCAGCATCCCTTCATGATAAAAATTTTCAATAAACTAGACATAGAAAGAATATACCTCAAAACAATACAGGCCATATATGACAAAGCCACAGCTAACACCATGCTTGATGGGGAAAAGTCCTCACGAGAGCAATCAGGAAAGAGAAAAAAGCAAAAGGCAACCAAACTGGAAAAGAGGAAGTGAAATTATCCCTGGTAACTGATGATATGATCTTATATCTAGAAAACCCTAAAGATGTATAGAAATCAGTAGAGTTTATGTATGCCAGTAACAATCTAGCTGAGAACCAAACCAAGAAAGTGATCCCATTTACAATAGCGACAAAAAAATAAAATACCTAGGAACGTACCTAACCAAGGAGAAGGCAGATCTCTACAAAGAAAACTACAAAACACTGATGACACAAACAAATGGATAAACAGCACATCATCATGGATTGGAAGAATTAATATCATTAAAATGACCATACTGCCGAAAGCAATCTATAAGTTCAATAAAATATCTGTCAAAATACCAACATCATTTTTTGCAGAATTAGAAAAAACAATTCTATAGTTAAAATGGAAGCAAAAAAGAGCCTGAATAGCCAAAGCCATCTTGAGCAAAAACAACAAAGCCGGCGGCATCCCACTGCCTGACTCAAATTATACTCCTTGGCTATAGTAACAATAACAGGATGGTACTGGTATAAAAATGGGCACATAGATGAATGGAATAGAATAGAGAACCCAGATATAAAGTCTCACGCTTACAGACAACTAATCTTTCACAATGTTGACAAGAACGTACACTGGGAAAGGGACACTCTTTTCAATCAATGGTGCTAGGAAAACCGGATTGCCATATGTGGAAGAATGAAACTGGACCCCTAGTTCTCGCCATATATAAAAATCAACTCAAGATTCACCAAAGACTTGAGTGCAAGACCTGAAACTAAAAACATATAGGGAAAACTCTTATGGTCATTGGTTTAGGCAAAGAATTCATGACTAAGACCTCAAAAGCACAGGCAACAAAAACTAAAGTAGACAAATGGGACTTAAAGTATAAAGCTTCTGTACCACAAAATAAATAATCAATAAACAGACAACCTATGGAATGGGAGAAAATATTTGCAAAGTATACTTTGGATAGGGGAGCAATATCTGGTATTTACAAAGAACTCAAACAATTCAACAACAACAAAACAAGCTGTGAGTGGTGGCTCTTGCCTGTAACCTTAGCAATCTCGGAGGCCAAGAAAGAAGGATTGTTTGAAGCCAGGAGTTTGATACCAGCCTGGGCAACATGTGAAACCCTGTGTCTAGAAAAAGAACTTTTAAAAATGTAACCAGCTGTTGTGGCATGTGCCTGTAGTCCTAGCTACTCAGGAACCTGAGGGAGGAGGATTCTTTGAGCCCAGGATTTTAGGCTGCAATGAGCTATGATTGTACCACTGTACTCCGCCTCAGTGACTAGTGAGACTGTGTTTCTAAACAAAAAAGCAATTTCAAAAAGTGGAACAAGTGACTACTACATCAGATCCACAGAAGAACACAGGAAACATGAAAAGCAAGGAAATATGACACAACCAAATGACTACACCAATTGTCCAGTAACAGATCCCAATCAAAAAGAATTAAGTTATACTTCACTAAAAGCTTTAAAAAACGTTGCCATAGACCCCGTGAAGGGGCTTGATGTCATCTACCTCTGGTTTTACCACGAATACATTGCAGTAACTTTCAGTCCAAGTGAGAGTGGTGTGGGGCAGGTTGGGGCCACACCCAGAACCTCTGGACTTCCCTTTGGCCCCGCCCCGGGCCAGAGGAGGCTGGTTCCTTTTGCCTCGGAAGAGTCAAGGCCGTCGGGTCCACAGGTCTGAAGTGCCCAGACGCCTCCCAGGCCGGCTCAGCCACCGACCGCTCCCAGCTAGGGGACACCAGATCCCGCGAGGACTCTCGGCGCGCTCTCCACGACCTTCCACCGGCCTGAGGATCAGGCCTTCTGCCTTCCCCGCTCCGGGACCGCAATGACGGCCACGCTGATTCTGGAGCCCGCGGGCCGCTGCTGCTGGGACGAGCCGGTGCGCATCGTCGTGCACGGCCTGGCCCCCGAGCAGCCGGTCACGCTGCGCGCGTCCCTGCGCGACGAGAAGGGCGCGCTCTTCCGGGCCCACGCGCGCTACCGCGCCGACGCCGCCGGCCAGCTGGACCTGGCGCGCGCGCCCGCGCTGGGCGGCAGCTTCGCGGGGCTCGAGCCCATGGGGCTGCTCTGGGCCCTGGAGCCCGAGAAGCCTTTCTGGCGCTTTGTGAAGCGCGACGTGCGGACGCCCTTCGCCGTGGAGCTGGAGGTGCTGGACTGCCACGGGCCCGAGGCCGGGCGGCTGCTGGGCCGGGCGGTACACGAGCGCGACTTCTTGCCGCCAGGTGAGCCATTGCTTGCTCTGAGCCAGGTCAATTCCCTGATACCCTCGCGGACCCCTTGCCTGGCCTGGGAACCACGTGACTGTGGAACGCCCCAGATCTCGTCTCTGCGCTCCAGATTGTCATAGATTCCCAATGGAAGTTTTTCCTTTTATGTCTCTCCCTGTGGGCACTGCCATTTCCTTCGCTGTCTGCTAAAGAGTGCGTTCAACTGACAATTATTGAGAGCCATCACGTGCCAGCCATGTGGCTGTGTTTTGAATACCGTTATAGACAAAGACCTATGGTAGTGTCCAAGAGTGATTTTTTGCCTCCTTTAAGATCAAACTTCCAGGGAGGCTAAAACTCACAGAGGTAGTTCCCTGTAATCATTAAAAACAGACTCTCACAAAATTCCCTGACAGTCTTCTCTCTAATAAACATTTTGCCTCTTCCCTGGGAAACATTTGGCAATATCTGGAGACATTTTTGGTGGTCACACCTGAAGAGGGAGGTGCTACTGGCATCTAGCAAGTAGAGGCCAGAGATGCTGCTAAATATCCCACAATGTTCAGAACAGTCTCCGGAACAAAGAATTCTCGTGCGCCAAATGTCTGTAGTGCTGTCTTTGAGACACCCTAGTCTAGGTGAAAACAGTGCTTGCTAGGTAAAGGTGGCCTGGAAACAAGACCTGTGGCCCACCCCTTCCAACCAAATTCCTGACTTAAACCCTGCTATATAAAAATGCTAGCGTTGCCACAGCGTACAGAATCCCTAAACTGAATTCTGTAATTATTCTCCAAAACAAGAGACCCTGCTTTAATTTTTACAGCTTTTGAGCAATTCCTAACCTTAACTAGTGGCTGCCTGTACACTGGGAATTCCTGGGGCTGCAACTGGGTCTTACACATATCTATATCTTTATATTCCTGGAAGCTTTCACAGGGATATAGTAGGAGCTCCATAAATCATACTGACTGATTCAGTAAGGATCTTCTAAAGGCTTCCATTAACAACAAAGAAACCCTTACCACCCCACCATGGTATCTGACATTCCAGTCAAGTCAATCCTGTGTTAACTACTATTTCAATGTCTACTATGTGGATCATTTAAAATTTATTGTTTTCTCAAAGGCTTTTGTAAATAATGTGGAAAGGTTTGATCATTTAACAAATATGTATGAAGACTATGCTAAAGTTTTGGGATGCAGTAGCTAACAAAGTCACACACAGGCCTCACTGTACTTATGGTCTAATAGAGGATACAGACAGTTATCCTTGTACCTATAACACATTGTGACAGGTGCTATGATAGGGGAGGTACAGGTCCATCAAGCTATTGGAAATATATAAAAGGCCACCTAACACAATTCAGCCTTGAGGGGATCTGGAAAGGCTTTCAGGAAGGGAGATCTAAATTGGGCTTGAAGACTGAGGAGTCAACCAATCAAAAAATGGGAAGGGAGAGAGAATAGTATTCTAGGTAAAGGAAGTGGTGTATATGAATATTCAGGGGCCAAAGAGAACACGGCATGGTAGGGAAGGCATTCTTTAAGGCTGGAGCAGGGTGTTTAAGGAGGTAGGGGATGTATTCTAATAATCTCCCGTATATGTAGAGCACTTTATAGCTCTCAGAGCATTCTCAAATGGATATTGTTTTTGAGGAAAATGAGAATCAATATTTGGTGGAAAACCTACATCACACTGTGTTATTTCTAACTTGGCTTATTTATATATTATTATTGTTTGTGAAAAATTCTAAAGAAAATAAGACATTTTGTTCCCCCTTGCCCTAAAAAGAAAAATAAAAAAGCTTCTTCTTCTATCAGCATCTCCACCCCAACCCCCCAGCCTCAAAAACTTCTTTGCTGACTGCCAAACTCTGAAAGCCAAGATCTCTTTTCAGAGTCCAAAGCTCCTTGTGATTTGTGGTATTTTCCAGGTGAGGGGCCCTCCCCTGGGATCATCGATCTGTTTGGAATTGGTGGTGGCCTTTGTGAAGATAGGGCAAGCCTCCTGGCTAGACATGGTTTTGCTGTGCTTCCTCTGGCTTATTTCAGATTTGAAGACCTCCCTGAACATTTGAATAACATGCATCTGGAGTACTTTGAAGAAGCAGTGGACTTTATGCTGCAGCATCCAAAGGTAGGTTCCAGTGATCATCTGCATGCAGAGGAGAGGGGGTGAAGTGGACATTGCTGAATCCAGAAGCCCTACCAGGACAACTGGGCACTAGATCTAGGCCAGGAGACACCAAGGCTCCTTCAAAAGTGACTATGATTATTATTTCCATTTTCACCCTTCTGTCTCCAATCCCTTAAGACTTGACTATTTACTTCCCTTTGTGATCATTTACCATCATTCAAAGAGCACTGGACTAAAAAGTTACTAACCTTGAGAACCTTTCTTTCTATATCTACCACAAAATGGCCTTATGATACTGAATAAGGCAGTTGCCACCTCTGGGGTTTAATTTTTCTCACTGAGAAGATTAATGTAAATGTATAGAGGGAAAAGTGACTATAAAGGGACATTTTAGAGATAGTTGGTGATATTTGCATAGGAATGGTATATTTGATGATATTAAGTAATCATTAATTTTATTAGGTGTGATAATGGTCTTATGGTTTTATGAAGAATGTCCTTATCTGATAATAGGAAAAAAATTATAGAACATTTTGGTATGATTATAAATGGAATGAGGCCGGGCGTGGTGGCTCACACCTGTAATCCCAGCACTCTGGGAGGCCGAGGCAGGAGGATTGCTTGAGCTCAGGAGTTCGAGACCAGCCTGAGCAAGAGCAAGACCCTGTCTCTACTAAAAATAGAAATAAACTGGCCAAACAACTAAAAAAAATAGAAAAAATTAGCCGGGCATGGTGGCGTGTGCCTGTAGTCTCAGCTGGGAAGCTGAGGCAGGAGAATAGCTTGAGCCCAGGACTGTGAGGTTGCTGTGAGCTAGGTTGATGCCACGGCACTCTAGCTCAGACAACAGAGTGAGACTCTGTCTCAAAATAAATAAATAAATAAGTAAATGGAATGATACATACTCTTTGCTACTATCCAAATTTAAACATTCTAATGTTTAGAAGTAAGATGTTCTGCGAGGTCCTCTCCCCCACCCCCAATGCTCTTGGTATCTGGAATCCCAGAATTCTCTGCCAGAGAGCCCTGATCCTGCTTCTAGGCCCCAAGCCCCTTCTCTGGGTCTGTCAGTATGTATACACCTAGGCCTTAAACATGCAGGCTGGGGTGACCGCACACATGTGTGAAAAGCCCCTCAAGGTCCATGAAGGAGCCAAGGGATGGCAGAGAAGGAGGGTAGGCCGGGGTCCAGGGGCTGGCTTTCCCCTTTGCCATGTTCCAGTACAGAACTCCAATGAATTCCAAGATTTCAAATTTGAGCCTGACCTTATAAGTTGTTATGGTGATATATTTATCAAGATAGGAGAAAGAACATATTTTATTTAACAGTTTTTTTTTCACTTGATTTATAACTTCTAAATAGTTAGCTTAGGGTATATGGGCCTCTGTGTATACTTTTGATTAGGGGATAGACTCATAAATGTTAGGGGATGGACTATGTACTAGGAAATCAATTGATTCACTTATTAGAAGATACATTTGAATTTTGTATATTATTATATAAGAAAGGAAAGCAAATGATATTTAAGAAAGCTACTTGGAGAATGTGAAATCACTGTTTAGTCCTCCATTTATGAATTCTAGGCTTGTGTCTTTCTCTCTCTCCTCATCAGGTGAAAGGCCTTAGTGTTGGGCTTCTTGGCTTCTCCAAAGGAGGTGACCCTATGTCTCTCAATGGCTTCTTTCCTGAAGGGCATCACAACCACTGTACTTATCAATGCCTGTGTGGCCAACACAGTGGCTCCTCTGCATTACAAGGATATGATTATTCCTAATCTTGGCAATGATCTAGGAAAACTAAAAATCACTGAGTCAGGACATTTCACTTTTTTGGATGTTTGGAACAATGCTCTGGAGGAACCCAATCACTTAAGTCTTATTCCATTGGAAAAGACCCCGGGTCCCTTCCTGTTTATTGTTGGCATGGATGATCAGAGCTGGAAGAGTGAATTCTATGCTCATATAGCTTCTGAAAGATTACAAGCCCATGGGAAAGAGAGACCCCAGATAATCTGCTACCCAGAAACAGGTAATTGTATTGACCCACCTTATTTTCCTCCTTTTAGAGCCTCTGTGCATGCAGTGGTCAAAAAAGCAGTATTCTATGGAGGTGAGCCAAGGGCTCACTCAAGGGCACAGGTGGATGCCTGGCAGAAAATTCAAATTTTCTTCCATAAACATCTCAATGGTAAAAAATCTGTCAGGCACAGCAAAATATAACGTTGCAACCACAGACCAGATACCATTAATAAAAATCGTACTCATACAACTCGTGTTGGGTTTTCCAGAGCACCAAGGAACCAACCTGCTCAGCTTCCTTGTCAGGTCCTACTGGATTCTCAGCCTTCACAGCCTGCCTTCCTTCACTGCTGGATCTACACTTTTCTCCCCAGCGCTTAACTTGATCTCATCTTTAGGACTGATCTTAACCTTAAGCAAGAAAAATCTAAGAAGTGCTTGCCCAACTCTTAAGTGCTGGCCTAGCTTCAGAACTGTGTCCCATTTCTGAGAACTGAGTTTCTGTATTGCTGTGGAGTCCCATATTCCCTTTGGGCCCTAACTGACCATGTCTGAGCCTTGGGCACTGGCCCACTCGAGTCTCTTAAGGGAAGGATTCTGCCTTATTCTTGCCAGTACACATTCCTGAACATTTACTCAAGACTTTTCCCTGAACCCCAATCTGAACATTGGGAGCATTGTACCTGTTGATATGCTTCCTTTATGTCTACCACCTGTCTGGATTCCTGGTCACTATAAGGTAATTGCCTGCCTGGAGGAATGCCTTGATGCCAAGATTTTCAGGACTATACCTTGTGGGCCATGGCCTTCATTTTTGGATGTCATGGTATACTTGCCAAATCAGACTTCCTTCCAGCATCATCTGGTCCTATTACCTTCTTACTGGGAAGGACTAGGACCCATCTGCCTCAACCCAAAGCAGTGTACTGGGCACTATCTAGAATCAGAAGAGACTAGAGTAGAGGGTCTTCCTTGAGCACAGGAAAATTTTTCTGGGACTTCCCGGCACAATTCCATGGTTTTTCTAGGCACCTACAAAATCTTTCACCAATTTGAGTCTATCCAAGCAAATGCCCATGAGATTTTATCTAACGAAAAGAAAGATTCTTAGAGGTAACTTAATTTTGAACAATTGTTAAAACTGTGTTGAAGGGCCAGGAGCAGTGACTCATACCTGTAATTCTAACACTTTGGGAAGCTGAGGTGGGAGGATCACTTGAGGCCAGGAATTTGAGACCAGCCTGGACAATGTAATGAGACCCTGTCTCTACAAAAAATTTTAAAAATTAGCTGGGTGTGGTGGTGTGTGCCTGTAGTCCTAGCTTCTCAGGAGGCTGAGGCAGGAGGATCACAGAAGTTCTAGGTTGCAGCGAGCTGTGATTATGCCTCTGCACTCTAGCCTTGGTGACAGAGTGAGACCCTATCTCAAAAACAAAAAGAAGAAAAAAAAAACCCACAACTCTGTATCGAGTATAGTCATTCACCATGTAGTCTAATTTTCTATGATGTGAATTCTGGGAGCCTCTGTTTTAACTCACTCCCAGGTGGACTTGCTACTCAAGAAATGCTCTTGGGATGGGCAATCACAGGAAGAAGTTATAAGGAAAGTGACTGGGAGGGTGAGAGAAGTGGAGGCCAAAAAGGCCCCAGAAGTCATACATGAAGATGATGACTAGACATTACCCCTACCCAGGAAACTTCACAACTGAGAAGATAATTTTTGCATCCCAACCCTCATCCCCCACCAATCAGCAGACCCAACTCCTTAACCCTTTGCCCACCAAACTATCTTTAAAAAGCATTTCTCCCAAGTTCTCAGGGAGATGGATTTGAGAAATCCTTCCCATCTCCTCGCATGGTGCCTGCAATATTAAACTCTTTCTCTGCTGCAAACCCTGTTTTCTCAGTGTATTGGCTTCCTCTTGTGCAGTGGGCAATGAACATGGTTGAGCTGTAGCAAGAGCCCATCTCTACAAAAAATGGAAAAAGTACCTGGGCGTGGTGGCCAATGCCTGTAGTCCCAGCTACTTGGGAGGCTGAGGCAGGATCAGTTTGAGGTTGCAGTGAGTTATCATGATGACACTGCACTCTAGCCCCAGGCAACAGAGCGAGACCCTGTCTCAAAAAAAAAAAAAAAAAAAGTTTGAGAAGGCATTATACTTTTTCAAGTGCTAACATGTAGATATGCACAAAATCCAATATTCATGGCCAGCATAATGATGGATTTGGAGGAAGAAGTCAA